AAAAAAAAAAATGCTTTTACTTGTTTTATTTTGTTTAATGTTTGAGGAGCTGCAGCGTACGTACAGTAGACATCTATTAGAGAAAAAAAAGGAGGAGGATATTAAAAACAAAGTTTATCCGTTTTTACCGAGGCGATTTAAGGTAAGTTGTAAACACCACATCTGCGCTTGTGTGTACATCTGCCGGCGCCGGCATTTTTCGAATTAACAACGGTTGTTTACGGCGACGCAAAGAATTGTGGGTTATCTGTAGCAGCGAAGGATACACCTCATGCATCCTCCGAATTCCTGTGAAAGAAGGTCGCATTCGAAGGTCGCATTCGGAGTGTCCTACTTGCTTTTCTGAAATGAGACAGCCTCGATGATGTATGCTGCCTTCGAATGCGACCTCCGGAGGGCGCAGCCTTCTAAATGAGACACAGCTAATGTAGTTCCTCAGAAACGGTTGTGGTTCCAACAAAGTGGTTGCTGAGCAACAGACAGAAGTAAACGAAGGTGTATGTTTGTAGTGTAATTTACAACAGCTTCGAACTGTATCTCAATGATCTCAACCAATCAGAATCAAGAACCGGAACTATCCGGTTTATAATGGTTTGCAAATGTGTCCCATCAACTTTTAAGTCATTAATTTAGCCTTTTTATCTTTGCAGCCCAAGAAAATAAACCTCTTTAAAGCATAACAATTATCAGATAATCTAAATTTCGAAATTTGCAAAAGTGTTTGCCTCTGCATGCACATAATCTCCGCTGGAGATAATAATTAATCACTGATTGCTCTAAAAATAACTTTATTGAACGGAAAGGCTACAAATTATTTGCTTGGTTAATTACATTCGAGATGTTTCGAACACAGCTGATGTGTCGATTCCTTTCCTGAATTTCTCTGAAAATGCCTGTAGCCTTGCCTTAGCACATTGATTAAATAGATTTCCTTCTAGCAACCTGGATATGGTGATTACATTCACATACAGGAGAGAAGAGATAGAGAATTGTGGGTAAGCTTCCCTGCCTAAGCTTCTTCGGTTAAAACCAGACACTGTGTGTTGACCGAGAAAAACATCTCGGGGAAAAAAAAACATGTGAAAGTCACTAGCTGCCCCTCTCTAAATCTAGAGATTTAGTTTCTCTTTCCCCCTATGGAATGACTACAGTATTGATTGGCCCCCAGTTTCCCTCAACAGTTAATCCCTACTTGTGTCCAGTTTCGTGTTCCCTCTATTACAGACTAAGCCAGTCCAGCACTCAACAATAACGATGGTCTGCTGACCCGGGGCCAATGTGAGAGAGTTAGTAGCTGACCGACACAGATGGAATTTTGACAAAATTAAGAGAAATACTTGACTGAGAAGCATCTGTTAGAATGGGTTAAAATGACAAACCAATTAATATGCCATCATTTTCAAACAAATAAATTTAAAATTATTAACGTGGTTTAGTGGTCAAATTTCTAGATATTATTTCAAGCTGAAATATTATTTTTTATATTTTTTTGGAATGATAATTGCTTTTAATAAAGAAAAATAATTACAAATATAAATAAAAAATAAAAATCAGCCACAAAAAAATAGAAACAAAATCATATAAACAATGTCATGGAGGGAATCCATAGAATTATAGCTGTATAATTTCTAGATATTATGCCAATTGTTTTCAGTTGTTGTTAAAAATAGAAAAAAAAAACATAAAATAGAAATACATAAAAATAAAAAAATGAAAATGGATAGGACAGGATTTAAAAAAAAAAAAGAAAAAAAAAAGGATTTTTGCTCTTTGTTGAGCCTTACCATTTAGCCCTCTTTCAAAATGTATATATAAATTTATATTTAAATGTAAATTATTTACATTAGCTAATTGGTGACACTGAAAGCACTTGGTTTTTACATTATTGGTGTATTCCAATTATGTCGCTTCATTTTATTTGTTAGAATCCATTAAATTATTACAATTAAAGCCTTTATTGCTATTAAAAAGACAAGAGTGACTGATGAAGAAAATCCAGTCTAATAAAATGAGTTTGCTGCTTCAATAAATTCCAGCTAAATCCAGCCATAACTGGAATCAACCTCAGCGGACAAAAAGCCAAATAACATCTGGTCCAGCGGTCACAATGCACAAACAATCCCAGCATCCAAACAAGCCATGCTGTCATACGTGTCACGAGAGATGGAGTCAAAATTTCCACCTTATCCTAAACTATATTGACAAGTCTAGTCCTAAACAAGCGCTAAAGCAGCTGTCACACACACATGCACACGCACACTTCCAGCAGTCTATCCCGCTGTATAAAAGCAGTCCACTCTCTAACAATAGATTTCCACTGCTCCAGTGAGCCCATCAGTGCCTGTAACTGGCACGATAAACAAGGAAATCCTATCTCCTCGGAGCAGATAGCGGAAAAAAACTCCTCTGCATCACACAACACATCAAAATACATTCACGATAAGAATGAACAGGACCCCATCAACAGAGAGAGTGGTCCAAGATTTATGCATGCTTTATCAGACTTGAGCGGAGAGAGAGAGAGAGAAAGAGCGAGGAATGGATAGTGTCGAGAAGAAGAGGTATGGCAAATGATAAAAGAACATGTGATGGGAAACCGAGGGCGGGAAGCCGAAGCTGAGAAAGCAGCGACCGAGTTTTTTCTGATTTTCCGCTTGCCTCTTGACTCTCTGCATCCATCTCTATGCCCCATTAATTCTCTATGCCTCTAAATAAAATCTCCTCATGTCTTATTGTGTGGGTGGACTTTGAATTACTCTTCGCAAGAACCCACAGGGGGATAAATTATGATCAACCGGAGGTACAGAGAGAATAAATCACCTTGAAATGAAATCCATGATGCTAACTAGGAGGAGGGCAAAGCCAATGAATTGAGTCATATCGCAATAACATGTACTTGCGTTCGCATGATGCGGTGCTATGCAATGATTCAAGGGAGGACAAACAAAATTATGCATGTTAAAACTTGTTTTTTTTATCGTAATAAATGTGAAAATTAAATAAAAGCTGTGAAAATGATAATCATGCCCACCATTGACTCACTACAGGAGCCCTGGGGATTGTACTCGTCTTCTAACATGCTTTAACTTTATTTGAACAACATCAGTGCTTTGAGGTACTGATTACAACATTAGATCCACTCGTGTGGGGTTGTAGGCTCCAATCATCACACAAAACCCATGGATCTCATCTCAAACTTCTGAAAAAACTACAAAACAAACAAAAAAACAGTCTGTTCGATGACTATTTAATGCATATTGCATGGTTTATTCTGACTGCTTGGCTTTTTATGCTTTTGCAGTGCCAAAAACTCTGACTTGGCATGAATAGGTGTTTGGACTAAAAGCTTCCACTTTATTTTTGGCTTGGAGGATACTGGACATGTGACCCCACCCACCTCTTTATCAATTCCTGTAACTTTGCCATTGTCCACTCTTAAAAAAAATGCACCAAAGACTCACATTTTGACAAAAGGGTCTGAGTATCCATTCGAATCCATGGCGGCCAGGTGGGCACAGCGAATAATTCCCACAGTCAGAGAACTTTTCTCTGTGACGTACAGCAGAGAGACCAGGATACGGCCACGCTAGAGAAACAGAGAAAGACAGACAGGCTTGGTTCCACTGATCAATATTCAGACCATCAATAATACATTAAACAATATATGTCAGTAGGGTACAACCAGGCTAAACATCCCCTTAGGAACAACATGACTGTTTTTGTAGTTCTCAATAAAATTATTATTTTTATTGTATACAAATGGAATAGCAAAATTTGCATTAAAAATAATGTAAAAAATGTAAATAATATATATATTCTTACTGTATTTTGGTCAAATAAATACAACCAGTATTGAGCATAAGAGTCTTTTGAAAGGTGTGAGTATATACTTGAAACTCCTTAAGCAAAGGATGTTTTTGCTGTTCATTTAATATATTTCAGAATTTCATAACCTGTTAGCTAAAATTAAAGAAATACTTTTAGTTAGAGAACACCATATACAATATAGTACAGGCAAAAATTATAAGACTTGTCTCAAAACTTTCACTTTAATTTTAGAGATTCTCATTAGTGACATCCCAAAAAAGTTATTTTATTATTACCGGTATAAAAATGTTTTTTAAATTTTTTTTATTATTATAAAAACTTATTTTAAATATAATTACCTTATAATCAGCTACTGAATATGATAACCTTATGGACCAGGACAGTTTATCAGTCCAAAGTGGAAAAACAAGTGTTCAGAAAAGTGCTTTTTTTGTTAATTGGTGTATTGAGATAACAAAAATTAGGTCCTTTCATCCTGGGGGCTTTGTCCTCGTTGTGCCCTCAACGTGAGTATTCTACAATCTGGGCAGTTTCAGTGTAAATAGGGAGTTTGCAGAGGTCTCAAGTATAGGATGGAAAGTATAGGATCTTTACCTCCTCTTCTACAACAGAAGCCCCAGGATCCACTGCCTGGCTGTTACCCTCCCGGGTCTGTAAAACCATAGAAAGGTTATTAATAATACAGCAAATACCCAAACACTAAATTATGCATAGTACAAATTCCAATGGACGTAACCTCACAACAGCCACAATGACTCACTCACACACACACACCTGTGCAATTCTCTCGAGGCCCATGTTGTATTTCTTGCTCTCTCCCTCCTTGAGTTTCTTGAGGGCCACCCTGACTTCACCTATGAACTCATTCCGTCCTAAACGATCCATATCACACACACACAGCCTGCAAGAGAGAGAGAAAGATGGCACTCAAAATTCTTCAGCTCAACTCTCAAGACAGAACATGTTAAGCGTGTTGCACGCACAGCCAAAGAGAGAATACGTCAAGAGAGGCTGAGGCTCTGAGCTGAGAAGTAGGTGGTATTGACTAGAGGCTGGTCATAATATCGCTTTTGACCATTTAATTTGTGCTGATAAAAGCTTTTGCAACCATCAGATATCGAGAAATATTTACACTTATTTTAATATTTTCCTGTTCAACAGGACATCTGTGAGCACCCGAATATTACTAAAATCAGATTGGTGACAAAATTAATTCAGATAAAATGACTTCTGTATTTAAATTGAGCCAATCTGCAAGACTAGATTGCTGTATAAAAATAGCCACACTATTAATTTTAAAACGTTTCATGCATCGCTATTCGGTGGCAGAGCTATTTAATCTACAGCTTCACAAAATAAAACAAATGACACTGTATCTGAGTTGAGCGTTTGCAATCCGGAATAATCATAATTCAGAAGACATGGTTTCAAATTTAAAAGACATGGTTATGGCAAAAAACACCAACAACTATAAAAAGAGTTAACATCTTTTGTAATGTCTTTTTGGATGCACATGTAAAAACAAAAACAGTGCTGACAGTTCAGCCTTATTCTTATATGAGAGTCTCTTTGATTCATTTGAATTGACACTTCTGAGCCAGTTCTTTTAATAAATGAATCAACTTTAATGAGTCACAGGTCTCCACAACTGAAGAGTCATTTTTTGAATCATTCAAAAGAACAAATAATTGATCTATTTTATCTAATTTTATTTAGTCTATTTCAGGGGTGGGGAACGTTGATCCTGGAGGGCCACTCTCCTGCAGAGTTTAGTTCCAACCCTGAAAAACCCTAGAAAAAAAAAACCTAAATGCATCCCGAAGACCTTGATTAGCTGGTTCAGGTGTTTTTGATTAGGGTTGGAGCTAAACTCTGCAGGGACACCGGCCCTCCAGGATCAACGTTCCCCACCCCTGGTCTATTTGATTCATTTATTCATCAGATACTGGGAACAATTAACACTTATGTTAGTTTTTTGCACAGTTTACATTATCCTGTTCAACAGCACCTTTATGCGAACCTGAATATTACTAAAATCACAAATATCAGTGACAAAATTAATTCAGGTTAAAATTACTTCTGAAATTAAACTGAGCCAATCTGAAAATCTAGATTACTGTATAAAAAGTGTCACACTATTAATTTTGAAGCATTTCATGCATCACTATTTGGTGGCAGAGCTACTACATTTAAAGCATCATGACAAAATAAATGATACTGTATGTGAGTTGATGATTTACAATCTAAATAAATGATAATGATTTAAAAGTAATGGTTCATGAAAATAATAAATCTCTTGTCTTGTCTTGCTGGATGCACATGTAAAAACAAATAAACAGTGCAGCCACTGAAGTCTGATTCATGTATGAGTCTATTTGATTCATTACATTTGACTACTGTATTGACACTTTTGAGCCAGTTCTTTTAATAAATGAGTCAACTTTAATGAGTCAAAAGACTACAACTGCAAAGTAATTTTTTTAATCATTCAAACGAATCATTCACTGAATATGCCAGAATGCTTACTGAATTAACATCTGACTCACTGAGCCGCATCATAAATTTAATTCACGTCTGACTTGAAACGAACCTCTTTCACAGTGTTTGTGTCCTTAATCCTCTATGGATGACATTATGAAATATGATGAGAGACTTAAATCAGCATAATTACTTACTGGTTGCTCAATTGCCTAAAGGTAAAGTAACAAACTGCAAGTTCAATTTCAGTTTTTTTATAATAATATTTATATTTTAATATATTATAAATGAATACAAATTAAAATTTGCTATTATAAATATGCCATATTATTTTTTCATCAATATATCAATTTTTAAAAACGATGGGTTAATTTGCTTTCCCCCCAACTTAGTTATTGGAACCTGCAAAACCTTTTATCGGTCAATCTCTAGTATTGACTCTGAGAAAGAGGGTGATTAAGGGAACAAAACAACAATAGCAACCAGAATGAGAAAAGAGGAATTTAAGCAAAGTGCCCAATGTAAGAAAAGACAGATGTTTTTTACGTCAGTGACAGAGATGTAACGGAAAAAGAAAACTGAGTAAAGAATATACTGTGAAGCAGAAAAACCAGGATGAGGAGACAAATACCAAAATTGAGGAGAGAAAGAGCTGAAGTGTTAATGTGGGTGTCAAAGAGCGAGAGCGCGAGAGGCTGCACGCAAGCAGATGACACTGACATCATGATCTTGTTGGCTTCTCACTTCCGTCTAGGGCTCGATTAGTCATTCCTTCCAGGCAGGTATGTACACATGCTACCATAAACATATGCACACACACTCGTGTGGAGGTGGATAACAGGTGCTCTCTACTTCCTGTAACCTGTCCTGGGAACCGTTCTTCCTGAAGCTGCTATTTATTACTCGTGGGGTTGAGCTTTCCTTGTTAATGTCAGTCACAGTGATTATGTTGAGAGTTTGCATGCATATGGAAGTCACCAGCATGCAGGACATCCGAAAGACAGGTACTTTTCAGTGTTTATTCAGTACTGAACTGTGAGTCAGATGAGTCATGGGCAGGCCCACGCAGTATTTCACGAAAAAAGCTCCACAGGTTTCTGAAGAATTTGACTGCTTGATATTTTGAGTTTTTCACGTTTATTACAGTTTTTCTCAGTCGCTTTGGTGCATTTCTCACATCACTATTTACATTTGCACAACAGTTAGTTCAACCTCCACAACATAGAAATGCACCAAAGCGACTGAGAAAAACTGTAAGTGATCATATGCTAATTCAATGAATGATTTCAGCTACCATTAAGAATGCAGTACACTCTACTTCATTTAACACATATTACAATCTAAAACTGCTCCAAACAATGATAGAACAATGAATGGATGGATGGATGAATAGATGCATGGATGGATGGATAGCTAGAATGATAGAAAGATGGAAAGATTGACCAATAGGACGATGGATGGACCGATAGAATGATGGATAGATTGACCAATCGAACGGTGGAGGGATGGACGGATAGTGAGAATGATGGATAGATTGACCAATAGAATTATGGATGAATGAATGGATAGATGGACAGATTGACCAATATAATGATGGATGGATGGATGAATGGTTGGATAGCTAGAATGATAGAATGATGGATAGATTGACCAATAGAATGATGGATGGACAGATGGATGGATGGATGGATGGATGGATGGATGGATAGCTAGAATGACAGAATGATGGTTAGACTGACTGATAGAATAATGGATGGATGGATGGATGGACAGACAGACAGATAGCTAGAATGATGGATGGATAGTTAGAATGACAGAATGATGAATAGATTGACTGATAGAATAATGGAAGGACAGATGGACAGATAGCTAGAATGATGGATAGATTGACCGATAGAATGATGAATGGATGGATTGATAGAACGATGGATGGATAGATAGCTAGAATGGTAGAATGATGGATAGATTGACCGATAGAATGATGGATGGATGGATAGATTGACTGATAGAATGATGAATGGATGGATGGATGGATTGATAGAACGATGGATGGATAGATAGCTAGAATGACAGAATGATGGATAGATTGACTGATAGAATGATGGATGGATGGATAGATTGACCGATAGAATGATGAATGGATGGATGGATGGATAGATAGCTAGAATGACAGAATGATGGATAGATTGACCGATAGAATGATGAATGGATGGATGGATGGATTGATAGAACGATGGATGGATAGATAGCTAGAATGACAGAATGATGGATAGATTGACTGATAGAATGATGGATGGATGGATAGATTGACCGATAGAATGATGAATGGATGGATGGATGGATAGATAGCTAGAATGACAGAATGATGGATAGATTGACCGATAGAATGATGAATGGATGGATGGATGGATTGATAGAACGATGGATGGATAGATAGCTAGAATGACAGAATGATGGATAGATTGACTGATAGAATGATGGATGGATGGATAGATTGACCGATAGAATGATGAATGGATGGATGGATGGATAGATAGCTAGAATGACAGAATGATGGATAGATTGACCGATAGAATGATGAATGGATGGATGGATGGATTGATAGAACGATGGATGGATAGATAGCTAGAATGACAGAATGATGGATAGATTGACTGATAGAATGATGGATGGATGGATAGATTGACCGATAGAATGATGAATGGATGGATGGATGGATAGATAGCTAGAATGACAGAATGATGGATAGATTGACCGATAGAATGATGAATGGATGGATAGATTGACTGATAGAATGATGAATGGATGGATGGATGGATTGATAGAACGATGGATGGATAGATAGCTAGAATGACAGAATGATGGATAGATTGACTGATAGAATGATGGATGGATGGATAGATTGACCGATAGAATGATGAATGGATGGATAGATTGACTGATAGAATGATGAATGGATGGATGGATGGATTGATAGAACGATGGATGGATAGATAGCTAGAATGACAGAATGATGGATAGATTGACTGATAGAATGATGGATGGATGGATAGATTGACCGATAGAATGATGAATGGATGGATAGATTGACTGATAGAATGATGAATGGATGGATGGATGGATTGATAGAACGATGGATGGATAGATAGCTAGAATGACAGAATGATGGATAGATTGACTGATAGAATGATGGATGGATGGATGGATGAACAGATGGACAGATAGCTAGAATGATGGATAGACTGACCGATAAAATGATGGATGGATGGATTGATAGACAGCTAGAATGATAGAATGATGAATAGCTAGAATGATGGATAGACTGATGAATGGATGGATAAAAGGATAAACAGAATCAGAAAATGTATCTAATTTTTTTTGCTCACTTGGATAAATCTAATTACTCCACCCCTAATTGTCGAAAATGTTAAAAAGTTGTCAAAAATCCCTCTCCACAACTGTATATTAAACATCAAACTTCTGATTGGCGGTAATCGCTGCATCATACATTTTCACTCTAGTGAGGGTAGAAAAATGACGCTGTAAAGTGTCATGTCTGGTTAGGGCAAAGAGTCAGGGTGTTTTTAAAATCTGGCAAAGATTTGTCAGCTAGGCTCCTAAAAGACTACTCAACTCACACTGCCTACTAATAAACAATGAACACACATACTGTACGCTTACTACGATGGCGACTCCAGTAATAGCATAGGATGCTTTACTATAATGGCACAATAGCACTATTGATAACGCAGTCATTCTCCAGAAAATGTTCCCTGCCAATAGCCTGCCAGCAGCACTCATTGTTCTCATGTGGCAAATGACATTCACATGACAAAAGACAAGCTGATGATAGAAAAGCAGTATATTGACAAAGGGCCATATGGGAGGAAATATAGTAAATATGGAACTACTATTTGCTCTGCATAACACCTCCAAAATCTTGCATAAAATATGAATTCCTCTCGCTTCACCCTTTACTGAACAACTGCAGCCGGATTTGAGATCGGCCAGCTGTCACAGCCCAGACACAGTCACCGTGACAAGGAGCTGACGCTGCCCGTGGTGACACTCCATCTATGCCCTGGGCTCCGACAACCTGCTCTTCGGGATGATGGTCACAGAGCGTAACAGAGCAGAAAGAATCATCGAATCAAACTCATCCTTTGGGATTCCAAAGTGGCAAGAATCCATGTTCACCACAAGAAACAGATCGGCACGTGCCACTTTTGGCACAATGTATGCACCTAATTGTTTCTGTTAAAAAAATTCACAATTTCTACAAATATCTCAGCATACTGCAGAAGCAAAAATCTCTGGATTGAAGCACTGAGGTAAATCTGGGTTGAGTTAAAAAACCTTTCAGCATGAAACTCGAATTTTTCACGGTCTCAACCAAAAAGTGGAACAAGTAAAGCAAGCGGCTTCGCTCTCTCTTTATCTCTGCCTCTCTCTCATCCCACGAGAGCTCCTGCTAGGTTTGTTTCCTGGCTGTGGATCACAAGGGTTTCTATTACATTTCTAGAGAAATTGGCCCTATCTCGTTCTGTCCTCTGAGTTTTATTGCTCAAATTGTAGCGTACCTCTACACAGAAGGTTAGACCCAAGTGTGGGTGTTGCACCACAGAGACGTCCTCTACATGCTGTCGAAGACACACACGCATACACACAATGTGCTCCGAGTGACACTATGCTTCTGCAGAGTTTTCTTGACCTCAAAGTAATGAAATTCACACATGTAGTTCACACATGATATCATCATTAATAAGTCGGACGGAGACACTCATGGGATTTTACAGAGAACCATATGTTCAAAGGTGAATTGGAAGTGCAAGTAGAGCCAAAAATACTTGAAGCTGGTGAGGATCATGGGAAACATAGGTAGTACAGTACCTGAGGGTTTTGGTGGTCATGTCAGCAGCCGTGATGCCGTGATAGATGAGTGTTTCGTTCCACACTGGATTCAGCGTGTTCTTTAAAGTCTTAGTCCGCAATTTATTTGCCTGAAAAAGAGAGGAAGAGTGTACTGAGACTGATAACGAATTTAATTTATACACACACTGGGTCAAGACAAAGCTGCTCGTGCACAATTTTTGCTGGCTTTGCAACAGCTGTGCACGCACATAAATTTGTTCTTACCATCAGTCTAATGTTGATGAACCCGGATGAATGTAAATGAGGGAGCACATGCTTCAGTTAGTCATTAGCATAAGACACGCCCAAACCATCTCCATATAAGGGCTTCCACAAAACCTTTCCTATCTTTCTTCACTCTCTGAAAATGCTCTCTAAAGATCCCTCTCACCTGAGCACATACAGCAATATTTTCTGCGTTTTCTTGCAAAATCTATCTAAGACTGAGCTGTATTTGACATCATTTTTATTACTCTGAAAGTAACACCTGAAGTAAGATTTATTGTGGGGTAGCTAGTGAATTTGTATTATTAATTTTATTATCTATATATACTGGTTTAGGCAGTAGGTTTACTATATATATATATATATATATATATATATATGCATATATAATTATTACATATATATAATAAGATAAAATAAAAATATTTAAACATCTACAGATGCATTTACTTGAGACTGGGAAGCAAAGTCTTATTATACACAAAATTGTGCAGGAAAGAAGACTTATTTTCAGAAAATTCAAAAAGACTTATTTTCTTACCCAATTTTAAATATTTAACCTTAAATTAAGAACAATATAAGAACAATAAACTTAATTCAACATACATTCTCTGAAAACAATCATTTATCTGATCTGAATGATGCTTAGACATTTCTACTGGAATGCAAGACTGATTAAAACAATGACTTTTCTTCATTGCAGGTGAGGTTGAAACACTTTCTCAAACATAATTCTATTAAAATGGAACTTTAATTTATCACCATATACCCAGTGTAATGTTTCCACGACTTTCACGCAATGTCATCATAGAACAGCACCATGAGCTTATTACTAGGACAGTCCCCCCTGGAGCAACATGGGGTTAAGCGCCTCGCTCAAGGGCATAATGGTGATGGTCAAGCAACCCTGCGGTCAACAGCCTGAGCCTTAACCACTACACCGCATCACCCCAGTACATCCTAAATGAAGAAACTGAGCTCTAAACTCACCACTAAACTAGAAGCTCAATCATCCCCAAAATAAACATTCTTTTTCGTTTCACCACCTAAGAGCATTTGGGGAAATAATTAACACCCCCCAAGCTCAATCTGTGCAGAAATTACCACTGCTGTAAATAGTTTCTGAATTTAAAGAATCTGTTAGAATCAGATGCTGCTCAGATGTGCTACAGTTGTTTGCACTTTGTGCAGTGGGTGTTGATGTAGTGGTTAAGGCTCTGGGCTAGGAACTGGAAGGCTGCTTCAATTCCTACAAAGCGCAACCCATGAGTCATCACCACTGTGCCCTTGAACAAAGCACTTAATCCCAGGTTGCACAAGAAATTCTATGGTGATCTTGTATGAACATCACAGAAATATGTATAAATACTGATTTGCACATAACTGCAGCTTAAATATCAAGGGCCAGATTTATTAAACTGGGCAAATTAGCGCGAGAGCACAATTCCAAAACAGCGCTGATGGGCGTTTACTGACAATGCGCAAATTAAAGAACACAGACGCAACATCTCATTTACATATCGACCAAGCACAGCGCACATTAGCATAGTCACAAATAAGCAGAGCCGATGCTCATCAGGGGTGGGTGATCTACTTACGACACAGACACAAGATAGTTTAAGACATGCTTTTTTTGGACGTTAAATAATGGTGCAAATACCAGTAATTTGACAAGCGCAAACGTTAGTAAATTGTGTTGCGTGATTCATTTTAATACTCTCCTCCCATCAATTTTTTCTGAAAGGGAAACTCCTACAAATGCATATTCAATAAGGTCATGCACAAAAATAACTGTGCCCACGCCTTTTCAGTGCTAACTTTTAACTGCGCATTTTTAATAAATCCTGACAGTACTATTTTAACGACAAAAGACAATTTTCGCTGTCGCAAGTTGTTAGTAAATCTGGCCCCATATATGTTCTGATTGACTGTGATATTGCACCGCATTTTTGTCTTTATTGTTGACTAGCGTTGTTAAAACTACCGACTTCGGTACTGCAATTTTTAAAACGTCCATTTCCCGCTAACATTTGAGCTCTGTTGAGCGGATTCTTAAACACCGCTGATTGGCTATAGTGTTCATGCGCTCAACAGATACGTCTGTGATTGGCGTCAATGATCATTGCTTCACGCTTTTCACCATAGGAGCGTTTGAAAGCCGCGTCTATCAGCACGGATCTGTCTATGTGCAGATATATTAGGTATCTGCTGATAGACGCGGTTTTTTAAATTAAGTCAGTACTTTTGACAACACTAACACTTTTTTTCCCCTTGTCTTAAATAATGCAAAAAAAAAAAAACTGTCATACTGGGTAAAAAATATTTACAGCTGCTAAATGTTCTCAGTGCACCCATCACTGACAGGTGTAGTAAAATTTCATTTTAGTCATGACAACTCCCGGGATAAATTGTAAAATCTTTATTAGTGTAAATAGAATGTGCATAGGTTTGGTCTCGGCAGGCTAGATAGCTACGCTGCTGCTGCAGAGCAAGCAGACTTGAGCCTCTGTCACACAGAGTGTTGAGAACGGAAAATTGCCATAGAATTGCTAGGGTGCCTTCTGCGTGAACTCAAGCACGATGCCGGGATGGGGATCTAAAAACACTGCATCAGTTCTGGAATAAGCCCTGTGTGAACAAAAGGCACAACCAAGGGTGTATCGTAGTTATGATGCATGTTATTGTGCAACTCTTTTACTGGGTGTTTTGAAGGCAGATCAATGTTCACGACGAAAAAATATGTGCAAACTGGAATCAAGCAGAGATTGCTGAAGCTGAGATTGTTCGCCAATTTAGTGGAACCTACATGTCACATTGCATGTCACATCGTGATGTCACGTGTCTTTACGGGATCTTGATGGGATGTGTGTGAATGCATGCACAGATTCACTGTCAGTGTGAGTGAACCAAAATCAAACGATCCCAGGACAAATCACAGGACACATTATCCGTTATTTTCCTGAATCTCTGTGTGAAAGAGGATTTGCTTTCCACAATGCTCAGATCATAAAATTAAAAGGAAACATGCTGCTGCTGCTAGAGAGAGGAAGATCCCCAGTAGCAGATCCAGACAGGTGGTGTTGGGGAGGTGGTAGACTAAGATGAGGGCATGCATACATAGCATTCCTTAAATACGTCCTGGTTATATAGGTAAACGTTAATGAGTATGTGAATCCGATTGGCTGGGAACATTGAATTGAATGCAAGTAGAGTTTCATGGCTGAACTATTAATTTTGTTCCATGTGTTTAACCAAAAAATAAATAAATCTGAAATTATATTTAAATATGAAAAGGACGAAGAGAAACTTAGGACACAAGGAGAGAAGAAGAGATAAAAGTATAAACAAACTACATAAATAGTTTGAGGTAGTTGTATCATGCACTTTTGCAGTCCTTGCTCACTTTGTGGCCAAGGTGAGATAAAATGGAGAAAAAAAACACTTTTTAGCTAAATGTAAGACTCAGCTGCAACTCAGCTGGACTCTCCAAATGTAGATAAGTAAAAGTGCCAGTGTTTCAGAACCTATTTTACCTGCAATAAATTACAACAAATAATTTCTGAGAAATTGGATTTCAGATCTATTTGGATCAAAAATCTGAGGGGACACATGCTCCTAGTTTGAATGGGCATGATGCATCTGGGTAGAGATGACAGTGGGAGAGATGAAGAGAGAGAGTCAGTCAGGGAGGACAGGAGAGGAAACATCATTTATCTATTCTCCCTCAGGTGAAAGGCAGACATCTGCTCACCTACTTTGCAGAGGAGAGAGAGAGGACGAGAGGCTTTCCCCAGCTCACCTCCTCTCTCTCACACACACACAATCATCATTACCCCTTCTGTTTCTTACCCTAAAAAAATCTGCTCACTCCCAATACTCACATACATACACTTGTTTACTTATCTAAATGAGGACTAAATGTGTAAACCTCTATTGTTTTGTGTTTAAACTAATTATAAGACTAACCCAAACTATAACCTTTTGAAAATAATACTTTATGTTTTTCAAGAGCGATGGTTGGGTTGGATGGACGGACAGACAGAAAGATAGATTGACAGACAGATTGAGAGATAGACGGAGGGACGGAAGGCCAGATAGATGACAGACAGACAGACAGACAGACAGACAGACGGAGAGAAAGACTCTCTGTCTGTCTGTCTGTTTGTCAGATAAAAGGACAGATAGACAGACAGATGAAAAGAATGATCTATAGATAGAATGACAGAATGATGGATATATAGAACAACAGACTGACAGACAAATGGACAAACAGATAGATGGATAGATGATAGATAGATAGGCAGATAGATAGATAGATAGATGATTTAAATATATTTTGAATATATTGACAAAACAACAGGGGCTAAGAATTCTGCACTGGTCTTCACACATAATCAATGGTGCTCTTTGGATATTTAGAGGTCAATATCAACTAGAAAGATGAATTACTCTAAGGCACTTGTAGTAACAATAAAATGCCTTTAATTGACTGGGCTAAATAATTAAAATAGTAAAAAAGGTAGATCTACACGTTTTCGGCTTCAAAGCCTTCTTCAGGATACAAATCAAGTGACAAGGAAAGCTCTCCCTTACCAAAAAGTAGTATACTTCAAGTTTATTTTAGTAAGTATACTTAAGTAAAGTTCAAGTATATTTTTAAGTATACTTTATGTAGTAAGTATTCAAATATCAGTGTACTAGTAGTATACTTGTAAGTGTACTATTTCAATACTCCTTGGGACTAAATTGGCCCACTTTCTAGTATATAAAAGTATACTTTTAAGTATACTTTAAGTATAACAGAAGTAAACTTGAAGTACACAATTAGTTTACAACAATATTTTTAGCTTGTACTGCAACTACA